TGTGTTTCATTCTTCTTCGCCATCGTCTACGTGTTGTCTTCAATGCCATAACTTGTGATATATTTATTAGATGTTAAATAAATAAAAAATGATAACTTTTGCTGATGGATGAGAATAAAGCACCGGAGCTACCGAAAATTGGATGAGAAAGAAGCAGAAAAAAACGAAGGGAATGTATGTGAAGAGAGAGAGAGAGAGAGAGAGAGAGAGAGAGGTAGGGCGTAATCGGGTCATATATGATGAGTGGAAAACAAACGAGCGCGTCAAAATGGAAATAGAAAGAATATAAATATCCGTCCAAAATCGAGAGTAAAAGAGAAACAATAGCTCAATGATGCTGGTAGAATGTTTCTCCAGTGATATTATTTTAAACAAATAGAATTTGCATTGGAATCTTTTCCGATTCGGAATTTTCATATTTCCTTTTCATTTTTCGATTTGGCACAAGCAACAGGGAGTTTTGTTGAAAATTTTATCATGGGGTTTTCCGATGGTATTTTCGTTCCAGTTGGCACAAAAAAAGGCCAGAAGCGTTGACCGAATCTCAAGCATTTGCGGATATTTGCCCAGAAATTATGTCAAGCAAGTGAAATTGCCCATTGATCCATATCGAATGTTTTCTTGTTTGCAACTCGGGACCCATTTCGATAGCGTACCAATCGATGCAAATGGTAGTTACCATTTCGTTCTGAACAACATTCACATTTATTGCTTAATTTTTGAACATTGTTGTAAGAATGGGCGTATAAAGAAAAGTGGTTCGGTTTCAGGTGCTTAAATCGTTGAATCAATAAATCAACACCCCAAAGCATAAAACTCGCTCAGTTCTTTGTTCACAGAGAAAGGGAGAGCAAGAGTTTATTTTTAGAAATCATTTTATTTGCTGTGAAATGTCTCAATGTAGGGGAAAAACGCACTCGATGATGTGCCACGAATAGTGACATGTATATTTGGTTCGTGGGCTGTGTGTGTGTGTATGTTTCGTAAAGAAAAACACAACATAAATGGCAACAATAACAAAGAAATTTGTAAGTACAAACAAGAAAAGACGGCTCTTTTATGAGCACAGTGTCGGTTTCACGCGCTGATGAACATCCAAGGAACTGCTCTGTTTCCGTCTAGTTTCATATTTACTTTGTGGCCTGTGCTTGTTTGGAGTAAAAATAAAAGCTGAGCGAAAGCGAAACAAGAAAAGGTGAACTCGAATTTGTACGGCAAATATTTGAGTTCATCGAGTGGAAGAAGAAGAAGAAGAAGAAAAAAACGTCCAACTGACGATGGTGTTGACAAAACACACTATGGATGAATTGACTGAATCAAGTTAACAGCTCATGTAATTGCAGTGATTCGACATTGAGCCCTCGTTTTTCATTGTGATACGCACAACACACAAGCGAACACATGAAATTTGAGCCGATTCACCATCAGCCCGGCTTACATTCCTCTGCATTGTAGAATGATTTGTTTTGTTGTTTGTACTTTTTCCAGGCATAAATCTGTCGAAATTATGAATACCCACATGAATGTATGCTTTGCATATGGATCAACATCTAAATTCAGACATTGAATAAATATTTTTGTTCGGTTGTGATGGCAAATTTGCCCACATCTCGTTTTGCGATTGTTCCACATTGTATTCCATTTGGATGCTTTTCCATTGAGTGCCTACTTTTTATATTGGTTTATGTTCATCCCGTGGCAAATACACATGTATTGAGACAGAACTCAATCAGAACCATGGTAAAAACCACCAAACATAAAGAAAATATGTGCCAGTAGATCAAGACACTCTTTGCCACTTTGGGCTTTGTACTCACTCAAAGAATACTGTAATACAATAGGATAATTTATTTATTCCTTCTTGCTTACAATATAAACAAGCAATGGAATCCTTTTGTGTTTCGTGTTACTCCTCCTTTAACTGAATCTAATATTAAAATACGTAGCCTTAAGTCTTATAGAATGTGTTTTCAATTGATTTCGTGTTTATACTTCGAACAGAGATTATTGGGAAAATTATAGGATTATCTAGCAATAGTTTCTTGTTGAACTTTTGTAATGCAGATTTAAAGGGAGTGTTTGTGTGCTTAAAAGACGAAAAATACTGCAGAGTTTTCTATTATTTCATTGAGGAATATTACCGAAACTGATACAGCTGTATCAATCACTATGGGCAATGCTTTATCAATCGATCGGTGGTTTCGAATCTTATATACAACCTGTGCTTCTCTCCCATAAGAACCAATGTATTTGACGTGACAGTGAATAGCGGTAGCGCCTAAATAGGATCTGCGGCAACTTAATGAACTATCAATACTTCTTGTTGTTGCGAAATTCATGACAACAACAACAAGTATTGATAGTTCTTAAAAATTCCGCAAATTGCGAATAGGCTCCACCGCTATCTTGCGCCGGTCAAAAGCACAGTTTGCTTATATACAAGATAAATATAGCTAAAGCTCTTGTAAAACTTTTCAAGCATGCAGATTACTTACTTTTATCCACACAAAATAATTCGGAAAAATGGTCCAAAGAAAGTAGTAAAACCGAATCATGTGCTCTTTTTTTTCTCTTATTCATTTTATTACCTATGACGTTATGACGGTACAATCTGATTTATTTGATAGAATATTATAGGAAATACATTTTTTCGAAGTGTTCAACAGAAAATCACTTGATACTAAATTTAATCACTTAATAATAAAACAGAAAATACAACGTTTTTGATTGGAATTAAAGCAGATTTAGTATCGTCGCATTCATTTAATTAGATTAAGCCTATAAGAAAATCGCCCAATTTAGAATAATAATAACAAATCAAATTTCTCTCATGTCTCGTTGAATGGTAACACATTTAAACGCGGTCACTTCACTCTTAATTGATTTTCGATTGTTCCACAAAATATACTGAAAATGTTATTTCTTCAAATGGTTCATATGGTTCATAATGGTTTTTGTTTGGCTCTGGTAGAGATATACATTTCGTGTGTTTCGTTTGGTATCATATTACATACGTACTGTATAAAGTTTGTTTTGTTTATTTCTTGGTTTTTGGTTTGATATAAAATCGCATCTCAAAATGTTATATTAAATTGTATCATTGCGTTCGCATTACAATCCAACAGATATGCTCTCTATAATTGTTTGGTTTTTTTGTTGTTTTAGTTTTCCTCCTTCCCAACATTCTAACACAGAAACGGTTTATAATTACAGTTTACATCAATGATAAATATCTCTCGGATGAATTGAATTAGTTCATTTGTTATACTATAGCATGTAATTGAGATTATTGCCTTGTTCTAGGACATTCAGATATGACAAAGTATCGATTATTTGGTTTGCATTTTTATTTCTTTTCACACATTTATTTTGCTATTGTTATGTTGGCCTATATCTCAATCGTCACTTTTTTTTGGGAACATTTACTAATTATATAGGAATTCACGTTCAATTTGCAATGATTGACATTGAATTGGCGGAATTTTTTTTTCGAAATTGTTATCTCTTGAACTCCGGCTGCATAAATTGACTATAAATATATCAAACAGAAATAGATGAATCAAATGAAATTTTCGTTTTGTATGGATACAATGTCGAATTTGGCGGCTAATTTAATCTATAGCCGATGCCAATCAACTATAAATCATTTATACTAAACTTTGTACTGTCAATCAAATTAAGCCATTTGCAACCCAAAACATTCAACCAATTTTATTTGTCGAAAGAAAATTATACTGAATTTGTATTCTGCATTCAATCTGCTAAATATAAACTCGGGCTTTAATTGACTCCTTGAAATGAATTAATCCATTTTCGAGTTTTTCCAAATGCTGATTGTTTGGCGTTGAGCTTTTTTTTCTGTGTTTGTAATTATTTCCATATTGCATGTGTCACTGCATTTCAACGGAATTTTACTATTTTAGCACTGCCAAACACTGTGCAGTGATGCTTCAATTGATTTGTTCCAAATAGATTTGGTTGGTTTCTACAATCATTCGATCGGTTGATTTTTTCGATTATTTCTATCGCCCACAATTTGATAATCAGATTCTCTGAAGATATTTTCATTACATCAATATATAAATTTTCGGGTTTTGCGTTTTGCTTTTCCTTCCATTTTTCCTTAACCATTATCCTAATAATATTGATTTAATTTATTTTTACATACATAATTCGATCTATAGAATTTCTAAATATAAATTATGATTGAACTAGAACAGAATAAAATGTACAGATACAGGCTATTAGTTTCGTTTGCCGTTGATTTATGTTTGAACACGTGAATAATTTTGGTGTTTTTTTTTAAATAAAAATTCAAACAAAATCTCATTCGCTCAATATAATATGGTTTTATGTATGGAAATTGAATATTTTTTCTTTGTTGTTTACTTATCGCAAATCTTAGTAATAAAATATGAAAGTTTTGATCTATTGAGCAATGTTTGTCATTTCATTATATCGTTATATGTTCCTTTTCGGTTCGCTTCGTATTTACAAGTATTGAATTGTGACATTTTCAATTCAATTTTGTCTAGATTGTATGTCTAGCTAAGACAAAAACTAAGCGAACACTTACCATTAAACGTAAATAAAACTACAGTTCGATTGATCGGTGATTTGCGCTCAGTTCGGATGCTTAGTGTTGTTTGGTTCGAAACATTGTTATGAAAAAATTGGTGCGCATCAATACTCCATTCATATTCCAGTTGTACTCGTGTGTTACGCTTCATTGCTTTTTCGCCAACACATTATTTACACAAAAAACTAGTTGATTCAATTAGCAAGGGAAATTTGGTTGAATTAAAAATGAGCCGCTTATTCGATAAATTAGCGTTAACAATTTGATGACGAAAATTTACATTGTTATGCTTAATGACTGAAAATCATTGTTGTCATTTTCGGCGAGTGAGAGAGAAAAAAAAAACAGTAAATCCAGCAGGGGGATGCCAGTTTATACTTCCGGCCATGTATACACTCAACATTTGGTCGTTGGAGGGGATTGGAGTTGGGAATTGAAATGCATATGATCTTCGTCCGGTCATTTTGCGGATGATTTTTGTAATTTTATTCAAATTAGCAGAGAGAACATGCACTAAAACAATGTGCACATTATTAGCAAAACAAGCGATAAAAAGTCAATTAATGAACTGGAATCCATTGACAATAATTTAATTTATATGGAACGAAAAAGCTGGCTGACTTTTTTTCTGCTAGTACTGAATGAATGCACCGTTGGACGCGCGCGCGCGCCATTAGCAATTCACTTTTATAGTATTTATTCGAATTTATGCACATAATTAAAAGTCAGACTCGACACAAAGCCCAACCGAAATGCAATCCATTACAATGGGCAGGTAATTAATTAATTGAATAAACGCATTGCATTTGCTATCCCTTTGCAACTTTGGCTACCTGTATTTTATAGTTAGATGAAGCACTTTTTTTCAGAGTTGAAATCAGCTTTTCAAAATGGAAACTGATAAATCGCCTTAGGTTTTAATGCATTGATGTTAATAGAGTGCGTGGCAAATTTCACGTTTTCATCAGATATTTTCTAGAGAAAAAAAAACATTATACAATAATGATTGAGACTTTTTGTGCTACGAAATCGTATTCAGGTTTTATTTTTGGGTCAAGCGCATCCTGCGGTGAGGAAAAACTGTTTGATACTTCGAAAATATGTTCCGTCTGCGAAGAGAAGGAGTCGCTAAACAAAAGTATCATCAATTTTTTTTGGTGTATCGAAAAAAGTATATTAAAATTTATTCTATTTAGTTAATAGTCGGATGATGCATTGGAAACGGAGGGTGAAACAAATGCACAGTCCAAAATAAAGTATTGAACATAATCGCATTAAATATGCTAATCAGGGGAGCAGACAGAGAGAGAGTGGGACATTGTTTGCAAAATATTATTGAAAGAGAGAAAGAGTTTTTCAATACATTATTGCACAGAGACAGAATGAACATGGAAAATAAAGTGCTTGGCTAGATTTGGTAAGATAGAGAGTAAGAGAGTGAGTGAGAACCATCTTTTCTGCATTTATGGTCATTGGCAATGCTTTTAATGTATTTTCGAATGGAAAAGTTGGCGCTTTTATTTGAATAATTAACGACCCATGGCGTCATTCGAAAACTTCGATAAAGCCACTGATGCTGTTGCAGCCTGCTGCCTGCTTTTATTTTTCTTCTCCCCTTGTTCTTCTGTTGAATGGCAAATGCAAAATGGGTTTCGGCATACAGAATCCAGCGGACATGCAGAGAGCCAGCGATAAGGATATAAGGATACTCTATTTGCTAATTACAAAAACAATTTGCAGCATTGATAATTTTAATGACAAAGTATATTGCACAGCACTCGATTGCTGAAAGCCGGATCGCACTATTGAACGCTGTCAACAGACTGGTTATTTGTGTGTGTGTTCTTTTTTTACGATGTTCGCTTATCTCCACCACTTTACCATCATATAATACGCTTGTTTTGGAAAAAAAGTAATCGTTATGTAATGGATGAAACAGAAAATAGTGGCTATTGTGGAGCATTAATTGCTTGGCACACCATAATTCACGAATGGAAAATGTAAATATGAATGGCAACGGCGAAGCGGAAATTCTGTCAAAGGCATAATGCTGCACGAAGTAACATATCAAGGAATTTGAAATGCGTGTGATTAATAATCATCACTGATTATTTGATGACCGTATCTAAAGTGCTATTGGCATGATATCTTGTGACAGCTGCCAAAATAGAATGACATCATGTGTGTGTCGAGGATATTTTTATTCTCTCTGGTAGTTTTGTCCAAAAATAGAACCCACAACATTTTCGATAACGACGATGAGTCCGATATTTATGGAAAGTTCATTGTGTTTTTTTGCTATTTTTAAGTCGTCTTTCCCAAATAAAAATCTCAGCCTCTTTTATCATATTTAACGCAGCCAGTTGACGTCAGCAAATAAAATATGGTTTCCATTAAATGGAATTGCAATTTATTTAGGGTTTTTCGCAAATCGCTTCTAGCCGCCACACACTGTGTGTGACTGCATATACTCATAGCATGTGTGAAAATGCACTGTCTCGCTGGTGGTGGTGGGTTTTTTTCCCTCTCGCTTATCCACCATTCTGTCGTGCGCTGCGTGCATCTATTTCAATAAAATGTCGTGAAATAAAATTGCATTTGGCGACACACACATACACTCACACAAATGGACACAAAGCATACACGAGATCGTGCAAGTAAGCGAACGCAAATGAAATAAAACTGGATCGATTCGATCGAGGAAGCCCAAAAAAAAATGTCGAGCGAATATAAAGTCCATATGAAAATGATATTTATTATCTATTACTTTCGAAAGGATTCCATATGGGATGTCCAAACGATATGTTGGCCAGGCCGCTTTTTTTCTTTTCGTTTTTTCCCCTTCTATTCGTATTTTTTGCACTCTCACCCTATTCGATTTTTACATTTGTCCAAATAATCCATGGAAGTGCATTTGAATGCCATACTATTTGTTTTACGGTAACAAATGGCACACACACATATACACATTATATACAGCGAGACATGAATGGGAGAGAAAAATAAATCCATTTACAATGCGGCTGTTATCCGTTGTGCAATTTTATGGTATGGCTCAGGCTGAATATTGATAATATAAAGCCTGCCAACAGCAGGAAGCAGCACAAGAACACGAGAAAAAAATCGGAAAGAAAAAAGATTACATGACAATGAATATTCACGAATTCAAAAAATGGATCAATATGAAAACGAACCATCGAAATATACACACGCACAGTCGCACACACACACATACACAGAGAGAGAGAGAGAGAGACAATGAACGACATGAAAAGGAGTCACTAAAAATATTTCGCATATTTTGCACCACAATGCACAGAAATAGAAAAAAATGAAGTGATTTTTTGTACTGTCTATAAATTGTGATGGAAAAAATAACAATTGCAATATGACATGAGTGAATGTGTGTGTGTTGCTTAAATCCCAATTTAGCGGCCACATATTCGATGAACTCTTTCCCCTGTGCTATTGTAAATTTCGTCCTCAGCCATATTATCGAATCGAAGCAGCTCACTCAATCCTATTTTGTCCGTGCTGGTGCAAGAGAATGAAGCGTGGCACAAAAATCCAATACGGAATAAAAGAAGAAAATGTGTGTATGTATCAAGGAGCGACCTTGTTATTGGATGTTTTATTTGCGATGTGTGCGTGTGTGTATCGGCATATCCTCCTTCTTCCTTCATACGGTTGCCGGTTTCCAAATGCATAAATTTCTCATTTTTTTATCCCCTTATTTATATTTTTCTCAACCCAATATTATGCCACCATGGATAAGAGAGATGGCAAACGGAAAATAAGATTTAAGCCATTTTCAGAAAATCGAATTCCAACGTATTGGCTCATGGATATGCATATGCGAGTGAATGAATTGGCGACGAAACGCACTGCGAATATGCAAAACCGATTTCGGTTTTGTCCTACAACGTATTTTGCATTTTGCCAAATGGAACGACCGAATCGATATGGTACTTTGTACACTGCAAGAGTGTATAAATACGCTTTGTTACATACTCGAGTTTTTTTTTCTCTTCCATCGTTATACGATGCCAGTGTGTGAATTACAATGGGTTTTTTTTCTCTCCAACGTCAATTCGTCGATTATCCATTTTGCGCACTGAATTAGTTATTTTGAAATTCTATTGACTTGGCCCATTGCAAACACTGCATTCTTCCTCGAAATGAATACAGAAGAGCGTGCTTTTGTTTCAGTTGTTAGAACAATGCAAAAGAGTTTGACCTTTTTCTACACGATTGCTCCGATACAAATACACACACACACGCACACACACATTGTACAAAAGCAAATATGTGTCTTTGTTGGGCCGGCGTATTCATTCACACGATGGGAAAGGCTATTTCCAAAAATAATACAAAACCTCACGCATCGAAGCCGAGATTTATTTATTTTTGTACATTTTCTATTTGGATGCGGATATTTTCGAACGTGTTAGGAATTCAAACACATTGTTCAAATAGTGACAGTTACTCATTACGAGGGCGGCCGAGCAGCCGAGCAGCCGAGCAGCCGTGTAGTGGCAACGAATGACTTTCATCGACCGGCGAAAAGGTTGAGAATGCTCAACTGTTGGATCGTGCAAATGGTTATGCTTTTGTCATATCGATCAAATTGATTGACAACATTTTACCGGAAAAATATCCAGGGACGCGCGGCACACTGATTTCGTATTCCATGTTTGTTTTCAATCATTTGCATGAAATCACCGAGCAATGCCAATTGCAAATAATCAAAATAGTCAAACCGCTGCGAATCGCGCGTACACATCGAATTTACTCTTGTAACCAAATGTAAAAATAAAATTATCCCTCTGCATTTGGAATACTGTACACATACACATTTTGGCGGAACTAATTAACCATACATTCAATAATGCGTTAACACAATCGATTTCGTGTTTTGCATATCCGTTTCGATGCCCCCGGCACAACGAAAACATTAGATTGAAGCGAATATATGTGTGAACGGAGCGTCGTTCGATGCTAAATAGTTTTCTGTACAACGACAATTCGTTTCGAAATGAAAATGTTCAGTGTTTGAAAACATAGAAATTGGCATGTTGATTAATTTTTTTTGGGGGGAACATTGCGTGTCTTTGGTCCGTGACAATATCTCGTGCAGTGTACGCCGTTGGTAGCGGCCTGATGTGATGCTTCGTCGATTTTAAATGCGTTTAATTTGATGAAAAATGGAATGTCACTGTCGATATGGTTGGATGTTGAACGATGTCGTACGAAAAATCAGATGCTAATGGCAACTGACATTTTGCTTTCTCTGTTCTTCTCTATTGTTCTGAATTGAACTTTTCTCTCACGCAGCGGATGCCGAAAATTGAAATGGAAGTGTTGAAAATTCCCTTGACATATTTTCATTTGTGTGTCTCGCAAATATCACTAGGATTTTCGATTCGTATACATATTTCGATAAGCTCACCTGCATGCCACACTCTTTGTAAATGGCATATCGCTTTGTCTACATACAATTTTTCTAATGTCATCGTGTTGCTCGTGATGTATTTCAGTCTGATTATTTGCGCTGTCGCATTGTCTGACATATTTATTGGGACTATCGTCGTCATCGTCGTCGTTGTCGTCGTATCGTTGCAGCCCGTTTATCAGCATCAACAGCAGTACGGCCGTTGCACATACATAAATTCTATGATAATGTTGTTCGTTGGTCGAATGCAAAGAAATTGCATTGGATTCGAGATTCTCACGAGTCACCTGCTCCTGACACCGGCTAATGGCATACAGATCCAATTCGCTCATCGCTTTACCGTTGACATCCAACGGTGAGATGCAATAATTTCGTGATAGAAAATCACCCCGATTGTACGAACCGTTCGCTAACGGTGACTCGATCAACGAATGAACGTGACATCCACATGGAAAATGGTTGTTTATCACCGATATATTTCGTATGCCTTCTAAAATGAGAGCACCCGAATCGGGCGTCTCTAACAAATGATTACCGTGAAAAATTAAATGCTTTATGTGATGCGATGACGTTAAATTTAGCTCTTCAATCGCATCGATTTTATTATTGAGCAATTTTAGTGTGCCCACATATGACAATCCATCGAATGAATTGGCACAAATCACCCCTAAATCAGACTCTTGCAACGATAAAACCGCCACATTGGTTAATCCACGGAATGTAAACGGTGACAATTCCGTTAAATCCATAAAGGCTAGTTTGAGCAGACCAACGGTGTCCATGCCATAGAATGCATCTGGTTCGATAAGGCGAATACCGGATGGCAGTATCAAATGTTCCACTGTTGTTAAACCGGAAAAGGCTGACGTTTCGATTTTCACCATCGGATTATACGATAATAAGATCAGTTTAACATTGGATGTGCCCGCAAATGCATTCGTTTCGACACGCAAGATTTTGTTGTGGCTCAACAGAATGGTCGTTATATTTTGTAGGCCGGCAAACGCGAACTGGGCCACCGTTGCCAACGGTGTGTGTTGTATGGAGATTTCCCGAATTTTTGGTAGGCCACGAAATGCAAATGGTTTAATTGTTGTGATATTGTTGCCGTCGAGTGACAATTTCCTCAGGCTACGCAAACCGGCGAACGCATCGCTTTTGATTATTGGGAAATTATTTTTGGTCAATGATAAATTTTCAACGCTCAGCGGCAATCGTTTTGTTGGTATCTCCCGTAGTCCGCCCGTATTACACAAAACCTGCGGATGGAATAGGTAAAATAAACGAAATGTGTCTCATTCAAAAAATCTCTCCAAATCAAATTCACAGTTTTCTATATTTGAAAATTTAAAAAGAAAAAAACAAATCAAGAGCCGGACCGATGAATGTACGCCTGATGAATTCGCATTTAGACCATTTCAACAGGCTTTCCAATGAATCCAGTAAAAAAAATAAACTCAAAATTATAATACATTTATGATGGATATTACTCACTTGTGTCTGCGACAAGCAGATGCATTCATTTAGACAGGCCTGAGCGGTATTCATGTGATTTTGAAACTCCCCGAGGGCTTCAATAAAGAAAAATATCCAAAATTTAATGAAGCGCATCGCATAGAATTTTGTTGTTGCTGGAGCTGCTGCTAATCAGATTAGTCGTATTTTGCTTCACCGTCGTCAATCTCGTGTCCGACATTAGAACCCTGCGAAAAGTGAAATAAATGAAGTCAAATTGTTCCGAAGTCATTCATGACTAAACATATATATATATACGAGACATACTAGACTTGCACTCATTACTGTACCAACAATTTTTCTCTTTAAATTAGTAATGATGCTCTCTCTTTCTCTCTCTCTCTCTCTCTCTCTCTCTCTCTCTCTCTCTCTGTCTCTGTGTGACGTTCTAATTTCACATTTGCTTTAGCGAGAAAATTTTCGCAGAGAGCTAAATGTCCACATTTGATTGAACTGAATGAAAATTGCACTTATTAAAACCATTTTTACTGAAAAATTTTCACTAGCTTAGTGTGGCATTGCCTTCAGGCGAATATGCAGTAAATGTTAGATGAGAAGAGAGAAAAGAAGAGTGAAAATAAAATGCGAGAGATATTAATGAGAAGCGAACTGTTAACGCTACAATGCATCCGGCTTACACACTCAATGGACTTTTTGAATTACTTGTTTTTCGAGCGATGAGTTTATTCAGTCGTTTATGTTTGTCGGAATAGCCTCAAATGTAATCAAAGTCAACAACAAATATGGTTGGTGAGAGATTGTGCAATAAAGCAGAGGCAAAACAACGAACATGAGCTGAAAATTTGCGGCAACGCAACTGGAACTGTGTGACGCATGGCATAGCAAAAGAGAGAGAGAGATAGATAGAGAGTAAGCATAAAAACAAACTAGAATCGTTTCGCGTTGCACATTCCTCATTTTCTCTCTATCTACTCTCAACTGTTTATCCGTGGCCATGGTGTCGAATCGAAACAGTGGGCATCGGTCGAAAAATTTTCACAATGCCTAATGGCCGTTAGCATCGTTGGAAATGGCGGTAGCGAATATTTCGACAGGGTTATATTGAACATGGCAACTAATGCCAAAAATGCACACATATTGCATGCCCAAAGTGTTCGAATTTTTCAATGTTGACATCAAAACACACACGAACATTTTTGATGTGGTTTGGCGCGAGCACGCGCGCATATTTACGTCTGAATGACTGGGACTTAAGTCGCAGAACTCTCTTGTATTTTTATTGATAAAACCGCAGTTTGGCAAAAACCGCCGTTGCCATTCGAACGAGAAAATGATAAAAAAAACAGTAACAAGACCAAACAAGAAAAATGTAGACAAGAACGAGTATTAAAAATGTTGTTCGAATTTGGCCACAAGCCAAAAAGTTAAAGTTCAGTCGTGCAGAATAGCAGCATCCTTTTTTCCACGTCACCAACCACACTCACATACAGACACACACCGAGCGAGTAGAACGCGACCGAGTCCAAACATTGAACGCAACTGAATTGGTTTGGTGTTGTAAGCGCAAGCGGCAATTGAAGGGAAGTGGTCAGAACAGCATGAATCCAACAGCTCAAAATGCACACGATATGAGGAAAATGTTGAGGTCATCTAGTCGGTTATTCATTTTGACTCTGTTGGCCTTTCAATGCTTTCTACTCACCATCACCGCCACTGCCGCTGCTGCTGCCAATGGAATGCGCAAACTGAATAAATTTTAAGCCTTTTCTACACAAAATGCCGCATCATATTCGCATATTCAGCGAAAGAGCAAAGGAAAGAGACACATAAACACGAATAGAGTGAGCACTGAGTATCTCACCCTTGACGTGGTTCATTGTCATCGGCATCACCACGTCATCGGCTTTCAAAAATGTTGATTTTCGTTAAAGTTGTTTTGGTTTGTGAAGGCGGTTATCGTTGCAAAATTTTGACAATATTCACTTTCACAATGCGACAACAGCAAATCATAAATGTGTTAGACCCGACCGGACCGAACTGGACCTAAGCTAAACAAACGCCATTTTCAGCGTGAAGCATATTTCACAGATTTCCCGTTGAAACGAAGGTAAAGTGACATTTTGCGGGGTTGAATTTCGTTTTTCGGATGTTGGCCCAACAAAAATAGATAGTGTGAGAATGAGATTAAGCGGTAAAAAACCAACAACTATTGAGATGCACGACACATATATGCGAAGCAGACTAAACAAATAGACACAATGCGTACGTGCTATCCGCAATGCATTTTTTTCTCTCTTTCATTCAATAGATGTTTTTTTTCGCTCAATGGACAAGAATTATATAGCATTTCGCCGATGAAGAGAAAAAGCATCATAAAAGATGTGGAAACGTGCAAAATGAGCTAATCACCAAGAGCCGCATTTGATGTATTTTCGAACACACAAAGAGAGCGAGAGAAAGAGAGAGAGAGAGAGAGAGAGAGAGAGAGAGAGAGAGAACGACTTATTCCTTTTTTCGGGGACATTTTCGCAGTAAACCATTATTTCATCAACTTCAATAAAGGCATCTCTCTGTGTTTCTGTTTTTTTCCTCTGGCTCAAACGAGAGAAAAAGATATGAAACGCTATGTGATTGTTTGAACGAAAGAAGCAGCAATGGAAAAAGGTCCTCATAAAAGAATGAAATGCGAAAATGGGGTAAAACCATTTTCCACATGAAAACCGAAGCGAAAAAAAGAACCGAATCATATTCATAAAATTTGCTTTGAAAGTGGATTAGACGAAAAAGGTATGGTCGTGGCAAAAAGACGTTGATGCGGTATTCTCATTGATTTCGTCAGTGTTAGTAGGTATTCGTTAAAATTGTGTGACAGGTATTCCCCATTTAGCTACAGCTAAGCTTCTTCGATCCATACGCCCGTATTTCAATTTAGTGAATCCGACACCAGCCATTTTCATCACAAGGATCTTTTTCGGCTGTCAAAAATGTAGCCGGATGAAAATCGGATTTCGGCGATCTCTAGATTTCCATTTTCAAAAAGCCGCCAAAAATCCAATTAAACAATTTCCTATTGATATCAAGCACACAGATAATAATTTTTATTACAACAACTCGTCATTTTACGAAGAATTCCCGAACAGTTTTGCGTCAACTTCCATTTGGATACCGGATCACAATGTGCTATGTGGATTTTGTAATTGAACCAACGACAAAAGGAAAAGTGAAATTAATGCCATGACGCCAGTACATGGTGCGGAATTATAAGGTGATTACGCAAATTGACAAAGGCCACAGCGGAACGTAACATGATTCCCGATTCTATAAATGGGATGTATACAGTGTATATAGGCACGCACACAAACATTTTAAACACCATTTATAATCATTAGAAAGAACTCTCTTATTCATTAGCTTAATCTCTTTTTTGCGACCGCAACTTCAGTGACAGTGTGTTTAGACTGGATGGCTCTGCACAAATAAATTGCCCCACACAACTTGTGCAATCAAATCGTATTGTATCTTGAGCTCTTATTTCACACCATGCATACGAACCGTTAACTTTGTGATGGTATGTTTGGTGTGACGGTAAGGGCAGAGCGAGCAAAAGCGCAGTTGCCCATGTTAACCATCCGCTGACGTAGATGTGACAAAGCAACGATGGAGATGTATAATTAAATATGCATTCAAATGGATATTCTCCCTTCGAAACATACACACGACCACGAAGACGACGAGCATTTTCTTTGATTTCCGCTCATTTTACCACAGCAACTCATTAAAATCACATTTCATGTTTCAACAAAAAGCTCTTCTTTTTTCAGCTTTGTTTCTTTTCATCGATCGTTAACCGACTAATGACATAAATGCTCATTTTTGTTTGATCTTTATTAAAATATTGCCAGAGATGTATACTCCATTTGTGTTTCGTGCGCGTGTTCTTTCCCATTCACTCTGTATCTTTTTCATCGCTCTGAATCATATTCACAACTCCGTACGTTTTTGAATATCGGTTTTCTTGTCGCATTCATTTTGTCACTCTTTCGTTTTAACCCTTGAGCGAATATTAAATTCCACTTTTGTAAGGTGTTTATTTTGTTTTCATACGAAATTTTTGAGTAATGGCTAGAATTTGTCACTTTGATTAATATTTGCCCTTATTCGGAGGCATTGAATGCTTGGGTTTAAAATGTCATTGACCTCATGTTTTTGTTTCGTTCCAAAACACGCTCAAAAAAAACGAATCAACTGCAAGCTGATTAGATGGATAATCACAAACAACGAGTACATTGTATACTCATTTGCTTACTGATGTTCATCAGACATGGGGAGGTTTCGATTTTCTCTCACCTAACGTTTCCACTCTCCTCTTTAGACATCCGAACCGTGACTGAAATATCAATATTTTTCCGACGTCCACCTCCATTTCTTTAAAGACTCCATTTTCCATGATTTATTTTTGGTTTAACATTGAAAGAGAGTAAACAAATGTTGAGGCATTGACAATTTTGATTTTTGATGTTCCAGCGTCGAATATGTCAAAGTCCGTCAAAGTCAATGTTGTACACAAATCAAGACTCAGAGGGGCCATTTTCCATATATATTTGGTTATCAGATGAGCGATGGGCAATTATATTCACTCCAAATGACTCATAACATTTATTTTTGTGACAGAAAAAAAAGAGTTCTAATCGCTTTGTGGCTATAATATGGAATGACGCAACCAAATGGATTTATAATTGTTTCATTGGAATAACATTTCAGTCGCTGTGACATTGAAAACAAATAACAAGCATTAAAAATTCATCTTCAAATCAACGTCTGGACTAGCAACCATTCGTTCAACGAATTTTGTTATCAGGCAATTTGTCATTCGAAATTCACAGCGAGAATATTGCTTGAGACTTGTGAATATAAACAAAGAGTTGAAAAGTTATGACGCAATCACGATGGTTTTGCTTTGATCGATTCATATTTTTTTCTTCGTTCTTTTCTTTTGTTTTTTTTCTTTCTTCGCTTGAATCTTTCCTATGCTCTGCTCTGCTTTGCTACATTTACAATTGAACGTATACGTGATGGCGACTGTGTGTAAGCAGAATTGTGGCATTGCAAAAACAGTCGAATGAGAAAGCATTAAGCGTCATTTCTTACATGTCCTCTATTGTCTAGTGGTTAGGATATCTCGCTCTCACCGAGAAGGCCCGGGTTCAATTCCCGGTAGGGGAATTAATTTTTTTTTTACATTTTTTCATCTTCTCAGTCACAATAATTGCTGTTTTGATCATTTTTTCTGCATTTTTAATTATTTTTAATTTTTATCCCATTAAATTTTTAATAAAATTCTCTGTGAGAGTGAGATATCATAACCACTAGACTAAGCATGTTTCGAATTTGAAATACCAAGTCACGAAGTGAAACTTTTTTTTTCGCCAGGCGAATACGCTTGTTTTGTTCCGTTTACCAAAACCAAAGCGCTGATTCTCTGATTCGAAGAGTGTTTGAACGAAAATAGCTCGTCGTTTCGATTCAGCCATTTCTGATGAAATGTTAATATGCAGATTTAGCCTAACGAATGACATTTGAAAAATCATTTTCAACGAATTTTTTTTTTAATCATATCAGAGTAGACTTTTGTCAAATAAGAATCCAATTGAATGCCGTAAATATTTGTATTTTCATCAAAATCAAAAGTATTGATTCGGTTATTCCGAAAGTTATGCGTGTGATTTGGCAACGGCCACACTAATCGGAATTGAATGTGTGCAAAATTTGAGTTTGACAAGTTCGAAAATGTTGCAGTGAAACTCATAGAATTCAAACTAACGGTCAGTGACACCGTCATACCAATGAGTACATTCTCACTTGGAGAACACTTGCTCATTGTTCACCAACGACTTCATTTCGTTTTGTGTGCTGTTTTGTGCTGTGATTTTAAGTTAAAGACAATTTGTTGGTCGTTTCAATTTTTATTAGTAAAATGTCGCGTAGCGAGCAAAAGGAAAATGCGCCAATCAAATTGGACAAATATTTGGTAAGAAAATTGCAAGCAATTCGATATAGAAGATTTCATTTGTTGTATTGAGCAATGTGTCCGCGTCTTGACACTAACCTCAATTTATTTTTAGAACGGCTCTAATCACACTCATCTCAAGTGGTTATTTTGTATTTGTACAATTTTTGTCAGCTCATGCAATCGTTTACATTCTTTTTCCATTCAGGAAAACAACAACGAGCATGAATCTAAACGCGATAGCCGACTGGAATATTTGTTGAAACGAGCTGAACTGTTTTCGCATTTTGTCACGAATGGCACGAAAGCTAAAAACGCAGGCAAAAAGGGTCATCGCAACAAAGAGTCAGCTGAAATTAAACCCAAGTAAGTAACCATACATTCAATCATGGATCATTTTTAAGGATTTGTATTAATCAACGTGAAAAAATGTGTTTTGCGTGCAGACGACTAAAGAAGGAAGACGGTAGCTTTGAATTGCCAGTGTCGGACAGGGACGAAGTGAAGTTGATGCAATATGACAAAACGCCCGATTACATTGACGGTGAAATGCGCGACTATCAAATAAATGGGTTGAATTGGTTAATCAAATTGTGCGAAAATGGAATCAATGGGATTTTGGGCGATGAAATGGGCCTTGGCAAAACCATTCAGACCATTTCGATTTTTGGCTACATGAAGAATGTCAAGTGAGTATTTTTCGTAGAAATTTGAGAGAAAAGGCATTCAATGAACAAAATCATCATCAATTTGAATGATTCCATTCTGTCATCACATTCATTCATTGTGAATTCCAAGTCACATTGAGATTTTTGTGCTGTATTTCGAGGGATTTGTCGCACATGTGCGTATTTTCAATCTATCCATCTGACAATTCAATGTTAATCAATCCGCAGGAAAGTTGACGGACCATTTTTGGTGATTGCACCGTTGTCAACGCTACAAAATTGGTTGAACGAAGCACAACGCTTCTGTCCATCATTGCGAGCGTTTGTGTTGCACGCTTACAAGAAAGATCGTCCGAAATTGTTGAAAAGATTGAAGGAGCCCGAAGATTGGGATTTGTGCATCACATCATACGATATCGCTTTGAAAGAATATCATAAATTCCGAAAACCGAAATGGCAATACGTTGTGCTAGATGAAGGTCATAAGATCAAAAATGAAAAGTCGAAGATGAATGAAGCATTACATGCGATCAAGTCGAACCATCGGCTCATGCTCACCGGAACTCCATTGCAGGTATGGACCAATTTTCATTGATTGAACAAATAAATTAAGCATATTTACGATAAAATAGCATTTTCTTATTAAAATTTTAAAACATTTGCCACTAAAACCCAAATTTTCTGACTATAACTTCGAACTCATTGCATTTTGGTGTTAATATTTTACTTTTAGAACAATTTGCATGAGCTCTGGGCTTTGTTGAACTATCTGTTACCGGACGTATTCTCCAGTTCAGCCGATTTTGACACCTGGTTTGACGCAGACGATTGTTTGAGTGGTAATCAAACAACCGTCAATCGTATACACGTCATTCTGAAGCCATTCATGTTGCGTCGCATCAAATCCGAAGTAGAATTATCATTGTTGCCCAAGAAAGAGATGAAATTGTACGTCGATTTAGCACCACTTCAACGTGACACATACAAGAAGGTGTTGCTCAAGGAAATCAAGGTCATCAAAGGCAATGGTGAAGTGACATACGCTAAAATCAATCAGATTTTGATGGAATTGCGTAAGGCGGCTAATCATCCGTATCTCATAAATGGCATCGAATCTGGTCCACCTTATACAACTGATCAACATTTGGTCGATAGTTGCGGAAAGATGAAAGTGTTGGATCAGTTGCTTGCACAGCTCAAGGCAAAAGGATCGCGTGTAGTTCTATTCAGTCAATTCAAGATTATGCTCGACATAATCGAAGATTACTTGGTTTGGAAGGGCTACACATTTCGTCGGTTGGATGGCGACAAGCAAATTGAACAGCGCACTGCTGATATAAGCGATTTCAATGCCGAGAACAGCGATGTTTTCATATTCATCATCACGACGCGAGCGGGTGGCTTAGGTAAAAACGTTGTTCTCTTTTTTTCGAAAAATGTTTAGTGAATCGATTGGGATTGATTTGAATATTCTACATATTTTTTTGTTTTGTTCTGAACAGGTATCAACCTAACAACGGCTGACACCGTAATCATCTACGATTCCGATTGGAATCCCCAGGTTGACTTTCAAGCAATCGATCGCGTTCACCGAATCGGCCAGAAGAAACAAGTTCATGTGTTCCGGCTCATCACCGAATTCACTGTTGATCAACGCATCGTTCAACGGGCTGAAATCAAAGAACGTCTCGACAGATTGGTGATCAAAAGCAGTCGCAAAGCTAGCATAAAGAATGAGGGAGAAAACCATAAAGACGTCCTACTTGATGTTATCAGATTCGGTGCTGACGAAATGCTATCGGACAACAAATCGGATGTGAATTTCGATTTGAAGCGAATTATGGCTGACGCAAAATCGAAAGAGGATGCAGAAAAAGCAAGGCTTGATGGAATGACATTGGAGCAAAGCTCCAGTACATCGGTTTATCAATTTGAAGGCTTTGATTTTCGGGCAAAACAACCAGTGGCAGCACCATCATCAACTGCGACTGTGTCGGAAACCAAAGTTCTGCCATCAAAGTCTAACATTTAATACAAAGAAGCAGCATTACTTCAAGAAAAACAATTCATTACCGCATTCGTTCATCATTATACATAAATATTTCACACGGCTCTAAGCCTTTTATAATGTTAAGAAAAATGTTCAAATTTAAGACGTATCTTTAGTTGCCAAATGACGAAAATACATGCAATTTTTATAGGATCGACAAAAAAGTGTAACTTAAGCGTATGATTAACATCATTGTCAAACTCTACTCTGCAAATAGTTCGATATTAATTTATATCACATAGAAACTGTTCAAGAATTTGCTAATCGTTTGAATAAAAACTCTCGTTTTGTTTTCAATGCAAAGGCATTTGAACTCTATTCTCAACATCATCAACAGAAATATGGATAATTCGATTTCATCGCCTAGTTCATGGCACAAAACATCAAATTAAACCCTATTTTGGTCGATTGCATGCTTTTATTTATAGTCAAAACATTTCATTTACAAAACTGAGTAGAACCATTGTTTCTCAAGCATTGTTGTTCACTTCCGTGACCTAACGCATTTTTATTATTCAAACAACAAGTAAAAGATAGAAAATCACCTTTTCGAAAAGAGCGCTAATTGATCAAACTGAACGGTCGAATCAATTTCGAATTTGACATTTCGCTGCTTTGCAATTGTCTTCAAGCCAGACTGGCATTGCCAGTGTGCATCTTGGTTATCTTTTTTCATTGGTATTAGTTACCTTGTGACATAAGCTGAGCATTAGTAGGAAGGTCACATTCGTTTTGGCGGTAGTCAGCAGTTGCCGTATAAAAATTGTTATAATTTCCGTTTCATATAATTTTGTTTTTAATTTTGGAATTTTACAATTGGCCGAAGTCAACATCAAAAGACAGAAAATCGTTGAGTTTCAATCGAATTGAACGAGAAATCCACTCACTTATCAGCGGCATTTTATTCGTCAACATTTTTGGTAAGTTTCAAGGTTATGTTTCGTGTAATATCAGTTTGCCCAGTCATTTATTTTGATTCATTGAAATTATTCTTCATTCGTCAATGAAATTGTTGGTTTAGATTTTCGAAAACAATTTACTACTACTTCAATCCAACATCCAATGTATTCATTTCTTTATCCAACATAAACATGGATCGAAATTTGCTAAAAAGAATGAACAAGTCACTTACAGACAATTTGCAACTGGACGTGGACCGTTTCTTGAATGAAGTCGGTAATGTTTTCGTTCGGGAGGAAGACAACCGAGCATTTCTTACCCGAAATGTTAGAGCTATGTAAGTGGGTTCATTATTTGGGGCTTTTGAATTCATATAACTCGCATGTTTTTAAATTAAAATTCGAAATTTTGATTTTTATCAATATAGAGTTGGATTGGCGTTCGATCGCTATCGCGAAGAAACACTAAGAGCTACACCAGCTGAGCCAAATGGAAACGTCGATGGGAATTGCTGTTCACGGGATCGTCAGTAGCTACATTGTAGACAAACACTCCGTACCCTATTCATGGTCTTCTCCAGGAAAATGTTCAAGCAAAAGTGGCATATTGAAATAGTTTAAAAAGATTTAAATGTTAACATAGCTTGTTACAATAATTCGCATTATACTTCGGCAAAAAAAATCATAATGGTTCTTATTAAATACATTGTTCGTACGCATAAAATCGTGTTTTTTGAACTAACTCCAAATTTGAATTCATCAAGAGTTTGATGTTTATGGAATGGAAAATATGTAAACCTTATCAAACTGAATCAAGGTCTATCTCAAGCATCTTTGAGGGCATTCAATGGAAAAAGCAAGTTAATGTCTGAAAAGTTGTCGATTCTATTAGGTTAATTGAACAACCAATGCGTGTATAGATCAATCGTTGTCTTTGTTCATGGTAAAAAAAAAGTAGTTTTCGGTTGAAACTAAACCACATTGTTGATTGCTGTGTGTGTTTTTTTCCATTTGCTGAATATCAACGAAAATCCATTTATTCTAAGCCGGTTTATTACAATTTTTATTCTCTTCCATGATTTAACGTACAAGTGTAAAACACGAAGCTAAACGAAATTCAAAATTTCGAAGAGATTCCAAACATTGACATTTCACAATTCGCCGCTTACCGTGTGACAGTTCGTCGGAAGTCGACATTTACTTTGGCGATAGTGAATGGCAGTCGTGCAAATATTGTGTAAATTTCCATTTAATCTAATTGGTTTCGGAGCTGAAGCAAACAGAAAAATCGTCAAAATAAAGAAAATTGTCGAGTGCCAACCGAGTTGTGGGGAAAATTCAGTTGACAGCGGTATTTTTGATGTTTACATTCATTGTAAGTTTAGAGGTAGAATGATTTTTCATGTAAACAGATCTTTTCCAACTATTTTATGTGTGTACTGGAACTATTCCCTTTTTGCCGGCTGAAAATCTGACTGATTGTCAAAATTTAATCTCATTTTGAATGTTTCTCTTAATTTTTTCCCTCCTTTCATTAGAACAATGACTGCAAGCTATTTTTTAAACACACTGAAGATCAAAATTCAACAAGACATTGACCGCTTCTTCAACGAAGCCGGTAATGATTATATTCAAGAGGACGAAAACATATTAAATCTAAATCGAAATGTTCGTGCTACGTAAGTAAATTGGTGTTTTTCGATGTTGTTGAATTCATGAAATATGCAATAGCTCACCGTTTTGATTTGTTTTAATATAGAGCTGAATTGGTATTTGACCGCTATTGCAATGAAATACTCAAGCAAAGACAAGCGGCAGCATCAGCTGTACCGAATATCAGTGAGATTCGTGACGTGGTCACTTCCACTACTGCGTTGACTGAGAATGCGTCCTCGAGTGAGACTAGCCATTTGAAAGGTGAACAAGTGGTACAAACAGGAGCGAAAAGCAAACGTGCCAAGTGTGATGAATCAATGTCCAATGATGAGTCAGATGATTCGAGCAAATCAAACAAAAGACGAAAGACAAGTGAGTGAAATTGTACATCGCGGCGATATTATCGCCACAAAGCATCGATACCAGTTTTGATTTATAACACTTTGCCAATTCTCTTTTCCTTTTTTTCGAAATCAGTTTCAAAATCCAGAGAATCGACTTCCAATGGGTCATCGAAGTCATGTCACAGCGCAATTGACAGTCAAAAAACAGCAGCAGTGAAAAAATGTGAACCAAGTGAGGATGATCATTGAGCAAACGATCAAAGCAATTACGATCTGTGACATTTAATAACAAAAGTAATTTATTCTAATTGAAATAGGGGTCGAAGTGCCACCAGTATCGTCAACTAGTATTGGGACTGCACCATCAAGCGAGACCAGCGATTCGCGAGATGAACCAGTGGTGCAAACAAAGCAGAAGAGAAAAACGAGACATTCCACCGGAAAATTGGTGGACAAATCGGAAACGAATGTGAATTCCGATGGTCCAGGTGATGATTTTGGATTGAATTGATTTATTTCGGAGAATTTAGTTCAAGAATTACATTTTAGCGATGAGTTTTACTTAATCAGATCTTATATCGCATCAAAAACTCAATAACAAATCGAATTCATGCGATTTTTCAAACATTTTTTGTCTAATATTGAAGTATTCTCTTCCATTTGGTAGATGGTTTACCAAAACAAGCATCGATTCCCCAAAATAGCGTCGTATCAACACCGAAAACTTTGCACAAATGCTCACAAAAGGATTGCGCATTTTCTAGTCCATCAGCGAAGCAGTTAAATCTACACATGGTCAAACATTCCGACGATAGACCATTCAAGTGCGAGCTTTGCCCTATGGATTTCAAAGCAAAGGCAAACCTTAATCGTCACCTGAACTCAGAAGCCTGTAAAAAACGTCAAGAAACAGAGAAATTCATGTGCTCAACATGTAGAAAGAGTGATATCGTGGGCAGAATAAAGTTCGTTAAGCACTTGAAAATACACTACGAGAACACAACATTATCAGATGACGAATTGATTGCCGAATATCGAAAAATCGTATGAATTTATGTTCTAATTAAGAGAGATAAAGTAGAAATTCGTAAGAAAAATGTACGAAAAAAAAGCTTTGAAGATTTCCTCTTAGAGTAATTCGAAAGGCAAGAGAAAAACAAATGTGTGACGATATTATTTATGTGAACAATAGAGAAAAATTTAATTTTGTGAGTTTGTCAATTCCGTGATATCCAATAAAAACAAAAGACATGTCCTAACATAAAATGTTGAATGTGAAATAAACAAATAAACAAGTCAATCCAATACTTTGCGTTAAATTGGACTAGAATTTGTATTTGGAATTCGCTCAGTCAGTAGTGCATCAAGAATTTATTTAGTTCATGGCATGAAAAGTATGTTTTAAAAAGAATCAAACTAGATTTTTCATTTATATGTCGATATTTCATGATTTTCAAAATAGAACAAAATTGAAATGATGAAACTTCGCCTAAAAATGCTTAACGACATTCATTATTCAAATATTCATAGAGACAAATCATGGAATAAACCCATTAAATAGAAAATAGCAAGTAAATCTCCAAAGAGATTCCAATCGTTCCAATTTTACGAATTGTACGTATTGAAGGCAATTCGAATTTGACATTTCGCTCACTTTTCGCTCACTCTACATTCACGCTTGTGTGTGTTGCAATAGATTGACAGAAGGTGAAGAAGTTTTGTTTTGGCGTCAAATCCGTATCAGTGTGTATGCAGTATGTTTGTCTGAATTTTTTTTAAATGTTCTTGTGAACGTGTAGTTTTGAAAGTGGAATTAAGTGTCAAAACAATAAAATCCAAGAAAATCAAAAGCCAAGAATAATCAAAAACAAAAAGAAAAATAGTTGTAAGTCAGATTTTTTTTTGCGATCAGAATATTTCCGTTCGATTTGAGGTTAAATTCAAGTGATATCTATCAATTAGCTCAGTCATTTCTTTGTGTTCATTACAATTTTTTCGCATTCGTCACTAGTTTCTTGAGTGTTTTCGAATCATGTCTGATCAATTTTGATTGTTCATTGTATGAAATTCGTTTCTCTATTCAACAGAAACATTGATCATGAGTTCCAGTTTGTTAAAAGGAATAAGCAAGTCACTTTTGGACGCTTTACAACCTGACATGGACCGTTTTTTAAACGAAGTCGGTAGTGCTGATATGCAGAATAGTATCCGAAATGTTAGAATTATGTAAGTAAATTTGTTTATGTTGATGTAATTGAATCACAATTTATGAACACAAATTTTCATTGAAATTCGTGCTATTTGCATTAATGTAGGGTTCAACTGACGTTCGATCGGTATCGCGAAGAAAGACTAAAAGCTGCACCATCTGAAAATGTGAGTGAGATAAGTGGGCCTGAAGTAATCACCAATGAACCGGCGACCAATAACGCGGTGTCATCGATCGGAATACAAACAGAACCGATGGAAGCATCCGATGACACTGCTCGGCATGGAAAAAGCGACGGTGAATCGATATCATTGGCAACAAATTCGAACAGTTCAATCAAGCCCAGTCCACCTGCCAATCACGATACAACGACTGAGGAAAAATCCAAATCGTGTGATGGTAATAGTCATCAGAATAATTTTGATTATTGACATTTGCCAATAAAAGCCATTCATTTTTATTGAAACAGGATTCCAGGAGCAGCCACCAGTATCGTCCACGCCATCAAGAGAGGCCCACAATTTACAATCGAGAATGATGACAAGAAGTCGGGCAGCGAAACGTGCTCGCTCCATCGACAATTCGGAAAATACGGAAAATCCACGCAAATTGAGGAGTAGACGTACTACAAGTGAGTGATTTTATTGAATTTTTCTTGTCTCAAAATATCGACACCAGTTTTGATTCGTAGCATTTGTTTTATTTTTCCAAAATTGACACCTTCTTTTGTATTTCACAGCTGATGGCAGAGTTCATGGGAGAAAGAAAATTCCGCGTGAGAACTGTTCTGAAGAAGTGTTGAGAACATCGCCAACACACATGGAGTCGAAGAATGGCAAAAATCATTGTTCCACTTCCGAGCCTCAGTCAAATGAATGTGTGCCCGTATCCAATCAAAATGGCTCAAATATTCCAGGGACATCAGCAGCTGCACCAGCTGTGAATTCCAATGCGGCCAGTGAATTGCCTACGAATGGACCGACCAATGAAATAATTCCATCGATAGGAGTGGTATCAAAAGAGCAGAAAGAAGAATTCGTATGCTCGTGGTGTAAAAAAGTGTTTGCGGATAAAACAAAGTTCATCGCACACTTACGAATGCACTTTGAAGACGAAAAATTGTCTGATGAAGAGATGATTAAGAAATATAGAAAATATACATGAGAAATGTATGAACAAATTTCTAATCTTAATCATTCTTCGATTTTTAATTTATTTATTCATGAAAAAAAAGGATAAAAAAGTGATAAAAATTGAGATAAAAAAAACAAAAATTATAAAAAAAGACAAAAACAAGGTTTGCCAACGAAAATTGTCAAATTTGCTCACATAGACGAGTATAAATCATGTGATGGTATAACTATTATTTATTTTATTTTTTCTAAATATCCACACACACTTTTAATAAAATATTTATCTGACTGACACGTAGACGAGAGAAAAATTGAAGAAAAAAAATGTCATAAATGTAATGTTTCGTGAATTACGTTTAATGTTTGTCACATAGTGAATAAGTAAAAAAAAAAATGCATTGAGTCAAGTGTCGATGCCAAAAATAAGAATTGGCCAACTAAATTAACTGTAGCACCTAGTTGGATAAGTTGTAATGAACAAAATGGTCTGAGTAACAATAAAACATACAATGTTAAAATATGCCGACCAGATTTTCGAAGTATTTGAAATAAAACAGAAAAATGACACACAGTTTGTTCCCACAAAGGTTTTCAGTGGTGTTTTCATTCTTGGTTATTGGAACAAATGGCATCATTAGGCAATTTTATGCGGGCAAAACTAGACTATTTTGTCATTTCTCTTTCTCGTTTCGGTACCAACAGCCCCATAAAACCTTTCGTCGATGGAACGAACCGTTTGTTTGGTTGGTCACTTGTGTTTTGTGCATGTAAAGTTCTATTTCATGGGAGAATGTCGCAGTCTCGTCATATTTGTCATTGTGCGAGATCAATTTAATGTGTCATGTTGTGTCAGCAATGCATGTTCAGGGTATACGACCAACGACACGCACATACCCAGCAATCTGAAACGCTGAACATCGTGCGTGTGTGTGTGTATGTGAAATATATGAATTAATGGTCGCAGAATGTTGTTCATTCTTCGCATTGTCATATTCAGTTCAAAGCATTAATAAATTTGATAGATTAATACGTATAAATCGACCAAACGCAAACTACATGAACCAGGTCCCAGCGCCGCTGTCTCACCTCCCTATCGCACGCTCGCTTGCTCCAGTCTCCCTTTCGCTTTCGTACCTAGTCTCGCATCAAATGCGCCCAAAAAGTGAATCCATATTTCATTAGTGTGTTTTACATGTTTTATTCGCAGTAAACGACATGCAATATCAATTTTTCCTCCAGAGTGTGCGTGTCGTTGTACGAATGAGAGAATGAATGAATAAAAAAACAACAACAGTCCCAGTGACAGGCTGATGTCGGTTGCTGTTGTCGTTGTCGTTTTGCGCTGTTCACCCGAGAAAAGCAAATAAATTTTTAAACTTGTTTACATCGACCATTTATAAACATGCGTTTTTCAACACAACAGTATGTGCTATGTGGTTTGATTGCTTCTAAGAAGGACAAAAGCTGCAAATTACGCGTCATATCTCTCGATTCGAACATTTTTTTTGTGCTGTTTGCGGTGTGTACGACATTTTGTTCACTTATAATTTCGATGCAAATTTGCAAACGAAATCTCAAGCACCATCAACAGACGCTTCAAACAAATATTGAACTTTGGCGATGACTTTTATTGGATGCTTCATTTGTTGTTGTTGCCATCAGTCGCTGATTGCTGATGCGGACAACAAAATTCGATTTAGTCATTTGTGGGAAATGAAACTTATTCTTAGAGACATTTTCAGGTTTATTCCCAAATGAAACATTGGTTGAAATCACAATTCTGAATTGTCAACTTTCTTTTTTGACACATCCACTGATATAATTTGTTCGACTCAAAGTGAAAAGTTTGAATCTTTTATTTTGGTAACATTGGTACCTGACCAAAAAAACAAGTAACATTTCGGAGATGGCAAATAACGGCAATATTTGAGCAATGAAAAACAAAAGACAATGTCTTTTTGGCATAGCAATTGTAAGTGCCACCAGCTGAATCTAGTATATATTGCAGCTGTCTAAAATGCTCGATAGTTTTTTTCTTATTTTTGTTTAACTCATTTTAGTAATTTCCGGGTCGCATTGCACTTTCCGTTTGCGGTTAGACGTTGAGTACTCACAGAGAGCATAGCAGCTTAATGTGTGTGAATATGACTGTCTGACTCAACGTAAATCTGATTTCCATTTTCTTGGGTCATACAAATAATCGCATGCCATTAAACATGTAATGATGTCGAGCTCATTTTGCTGACTTCACGTTGTACGAGCTGAAGCAAGAGAGCGAGACAGAGGTAGATGGAGTGAAAGGAAATGATTCGTTTTTTTAAACGAAGCGACGCAGAGTCTCAGTCGACGGGAAAACGGGGCACACAATCGAAGAGAGTGAATATGGCAGAAATGAGTCGCAGGAAATAGCGGAAATAGGCAATGAATGCACGCGAAATAGCGACTGACAGAGAAACAAAGAGCATAACTCTTGTGATAATGAGGAATTCATTGCAAATGAATGAAGGTGGAATGGGTGTAAAAGTGAGTGCGCGTTCGGTTCCCTTGCGCACACTAAAATGATGCTCAAATAAATTAGAGACGAATCAAGTACATCTCATTGCCGTTCGTTTAATTAGAAGTCGTATCTGAAATGGAGTGTTAATGAATGGCATTCTAGTGGCATTTTTGACTCATTTCGTCTTTTTTTCTCTTTCTCTCTTTCTCGTTCCATCAACGTCTTGAATGGTTTATTATTCACACAGAAACGACTTTATTTTAGGTTCATCAAACACAAATCAAGAGCAATTTACCGATTTCGAGTGGTTTGTTCACAGCTAAAATGTACACCATTGACACAATGTTGATGAGTCTGACGAATGCAGGACACCAAAATGGATTCTTATTTTAATTATCGGCTCTTTCTGAAATCGACCCACACCAGTAGAAAAAAAAGCTATTATTAATTGGCAAATAAATGATTTGATATTTTCACGCATTGAGTTTCGTAAGTAGATGTTTTGGGTCGACTTGAGGTGATTTATATTTTGAAGATGTCATCATTATGTTTCATAAGTCATTCGGCAATTAATGATGATTGATTTTTCGACGACAGCACAAAAGATTGCCATTTCCAACGGATCCAACATTAAATACGAGGAGTCATAAGTATACCAAAGAAAAGAGTTTTTTTGTCTAATCAAGGAATTAAATGGAATATTGTGTCTTTAAGAATCGTAAATTGTGTGCCCTTTCAACATCATTCTTAATAATATACCACTGGAAATGTGATCATACTTTTGCGTTTTAATGAAAACATGAAATATCAATTTTTGCATAAATTTTTTATTTGGCAGCAAAAAAAAAACATTTTATTGGTTTTTCTTGGGAAAAAAATTTATTACATCTTTTCATATCATTGTACACTCAAGCAGAATCACTTGGAAATGCGTAGTTTTGCCTTTCAGCCAACTTTCATCCCATTACTCTTATTCTTTTATTGTAAAGTAATTTTTATAGTGGAAAAGTTACGATGCAGTTTCCGTGTAGTTAGATCAAAGTTTTGTGAAACCACTTGAATTGGCACAATGGAAAAAAAATAGGAGGGAAAAACTAGCACAGAAAAACCAGATCCACAGCTGGACCAGAAAAAACCTCTAATTTGGTTAGTAAAACGAATTCCATTTAAAAAGTGGAAAAGTTTTATTCCTCATTTTATCCCTTGTTCTCTATCTATCTCTCTGTGATTATTCTATCGCATAATTTATAACATTATACTGCAAATCGTCGCTTGGAATCTTGTAAATGTGTATCTCTCAGCGGATTTAATTTAATCTTGGAATTGTGTCAAAAGCCGCTGCACTTGTGATATCTATTCACATCGAAAGATTTATTTTGACTTATTGCTCTCTACACAGTTTTTCATTGAGACTCGAAAGAAAAACGGACAATAGAGCGACCGTATGCATGTACATGTAAAATTATGTACTGCTGCTTGGATTAAGCGGTGCAAAGTGTAAGCCACACCGTTTATTTATTGCACCATTGTTGCAAATAATGAATTCGGCACGTTGAATAGAAGCCATTTTAATTTAAATGTGGTTGGCACTTGTCTGAGCCACACGAACAAGATCATTTAACAAAATCCCTCCATTTTCTGGTGGCATTTAATTTATAACTGCCCGTTTCTATGTATTGCATATCGCATGGATGCGGTCGTGTGCAGTTAAACGCAATGTGGGTCTATAGGTAAAAAGGTCGAGTTTGTGTTAAATCGCTTTATATACGCAGAAAACGAATGCGCACACGGTTCTCTCTCTAACACATACACACTCTCGAGCTAACGCATGCAGCCGACGAAATTTACGAGTCTCACACACAAATATTTCCATATCATGTCAGACCATGGGAAAGCGAATGAATGCACCCGTACTCTACCGACTGCATTTACTTTTCACATTTTGATGTGTATAAACCGAAAAGCAATTAAGTAACCGCAAGGTGCTAGCAAAGCTTCTAATACCCATAATTCAACAAACATTCAAACAATTTTCCATTTTCAACTTATTTTTTTTCTGAAACCGAATTTTCCTTCACTCCGCTGTTGAAGTCAACCGAAGTTTTATTTACGATAGACTTTTCGAATCAAAAGTTGTTCGAGTCAAGTTTATGTTTCATAACGAAAATATTTTATGGGTATACTTTTTCCGGTGTGCCATTTTCTCTCTCTCTCTGTGTGTGTGTGTGTTCTTTTTCGGTGGAATGTCGGATGTCACAAAATTCCGAAGGAAAAAAGAGTAGAATGGTTGAAATTACGATGATAGTTTTTGTTTGTCGGGCGGTGGATCAACATGCCGCCATTGTTTTTAATGATATAAATAGAGTTGAAATTGACTCAGCCACAAAACCAGAACACATTTTACGAAAATTTATTTCATTTTTCGGCGAGAAATGTTTCGAGCGTTGTGTGAGTGCAGAGTGCACAAACATACGTATATGGTGGAATGATTGAAACTTCAACAGGAAAACGGAAAAGTTAAGAGAAATGTTTGCGTGAAGTTAGTTTTTTTTCCTCATCTTTTCATGAAGAAAATTAATTCACAGAAATTACTTATATATCGATGGATGTGTATGTGGCGCGCGCTCGCTTGTGTTACTACCATATTCAAACATGAAATTCAAGTGCATGTCTCACTTGTCTACGCCCGCAATCTAGTCGAACTCGTTTTACATGCATAATAATTAAATGTTTGCCACACGCATTAAATGTGTTACAATTGTTTGTTCTGTTGTCGTTGGTGGTGATGCTTCTTGTTTGAGCACGAGTGTCGATCTCATTCAAGCATTTTGTTCGTAATTCATGTTGATAAATATTATTACATTAAAACCCTGTGTCAACAGAGCACATAGCAAAAAGAGATTCGAGCGACAGTGGGTATTTTCCAGTGTGTAAAAACTGGGTGGATTTACGTAAGTTTCAGTTCGATGGCGTGTATCAATTGCGACACGAAACCGAAAAATAAGGCAAAAAAACGTGAATTGAAAAATTCGAATAACATTGAGTTTTATTGCGAATACAAGATCCGAAAAATGTGGGCGAATGGAATT